CCCCCCCCCCCCCCCCCCTCCCGACAGAGACGGAGAAGTGCCAGGCCGCGATCCAGCTCGGCCTCTGCGGCCTTCCGAGGAGGGGACCAAAGATAACTTCCCCTAGGATAATGGACAAGTAAGCTCAATAAATAAATAAATAAATATACATANNATATATATATACTAAACCCTAAACCCTAACCTAACCGGATAAGGAGATTGAGAAGAAGTAAGGCTTTAGGTTCAGGGTTCTGGGTTTCATGTTTCAGCTTCTTTGTTCTTCTTCTTCTTCTTGTGGACTGTCTGTCTCTTATGCCGAGAAACAGCAGAAAGACACGCTCACATCGAAGTTTTGACGCGGGGAGGTCTGCTGCTCCTGTTGCTGCATTCCGAAGAGGCTTTCGGGTTAAGGATTCAGCTCAGGGTTTGGATATCGGGTTCAGGGTTTTGGATTCAACTTCGGGTTTAGGATGTAAGGCCCAAGCCGCATGCCGCTCTTAGTTGGTACTCTTTACGGATGTACCACCGTAGATACACAGCCAAATCGCTAAGCAGCAAGGACGAGAGTGAGAGAGAGAGAGAGAGAAAGTGCGAGTGAGTGAGTGAGTGAGTGAGTGAGGAGTGAGTGTTCTGAAAGTAGAGGGAGGAGAGTTACAATACAAACATGATTCTTATGGTCTAGCCAGTTCTTCTGTTGGAAGTCGACTGCTAAGCTGCTGAGGGCTTCAGGAATTCAGTGGAGCTCCAAGCTCTGGAAGGCAGCTGCAAAAACTCTCAGCAATGGCAGCTTGATCTGAATAGACCTTTCCAGGGCAATGGGAAGACCGTTTCGTTCCCTGCCCGGAATGCCCTCAGCTGTCCGCCGTCCGCCTCGGCCCGGATCACTGCCGCCTCGCTCTCGCGCTGCGCTGTCAGGGCGGCGCGCTGCAGCCGGGCGCAGAGGCGCTCTGCGTTGGTGACCCGGGCCTTTGAAGGAGGTTGCTGTCTGCTCTACGACACTTAGCAGAGCATCAATCCCAAGGAAAATGCGAACAACCAGCGTGGGTAAGAGCAATTCCACAAAAGTACGGGTGAAACGACAGTAGCAATTACGGTAGTCTTACTACACCCTATGACTACTCCCGCCCTGCGATGCAGATTGTAGTCTGTGTTATTTCGATTGTTTAGGCTGCTGTAAAGCGAGAGATGTCTGACCGGGGTGGTTGACGCTTCTGCGTTGGACGTTCATAGGAATCATACGAATGCCGACTTTCACTGTCCTAGAAATCCACCCTTCGGTCGAATGTTGCCAACATGAAGCCCCCGGCCATGATACTTGCAACGGATGAACACAGTCAGCTGTGAAGACTTCGCAATATGACATGTCAGCGGCATGAATCATGAACGAAGGGCCTGCGCATCCTCAATGAACCGCTCGTTCTGCTTCAGCTGCAGTTGAAACCTCAGCAGCATGTTGTACCAACAGACATGCACGCGAGCACATGCACTTGCACGTGGTTTGTACGGCCAGGAAGCACAGACACCGTTTCCAGCAAAGTCTGCAGGTGGTGCCCCTGCTCGAGGCATGTCTGATGAATTGGGGCATGTAGAAGGCTGTGCCCAAACCCGCCGCTTTCAGTTCACTGCAGACAGCAAGAAGCTCGGAGCACCGACAAGCACAGGCAGGTGAAGTCGGGCAATGTTCGAGAGGCAAGAGGAAAGGTTCATCACCGCCGACAGTTAAACGCACACGAAAGTATGCGAGTTCGACTCCTGAGAATCAAAGAGCTGTGGCACTTCATCTCAAAATTTCAAGCTCTCTATACATGGAAATTCCGTACCCGGGCAAGCAAAAGCGAGGCCTGAATGGGTTAGAATAGGGTTTCGATGCACTGTATATCAAGTGCAGATGTAATGGACAACTCCAGGGTCGATCTGCCGGCTCTTGGGAGGATTGAAGGCGATTGGGAAGACACGGCCTAGATATGTAGGCTTGGACCACTTCTCGATGAAACTTCTGCGGCCCCTCAAAGAAGTCAGAGGAGCAGTAGTGGGCTCCAGGAAACTCCGAGTGGAACTCATCTTCACCCAACTGCCTGGCCTCGCCGCCCATGCCAAGGGCCGATGGCAGCGATGCTTTCCGGGAGTCTAAATGCATATCCATTTCTGACGGTGTGCATGTGGGTATCTCTGCTGCCTCTGGGGACACCCTTCCAGCAATGATTTGGGGTGCAACACCGCCTCTTCCACGTGGCCATGCAGCCGCTGGGATGCTGGATCGCATTCGCAAGCAAAGGCTGGCAAGGGTCAAACATGCTTTGAGTCCACTCCAAGCTGGGTCACGAAAGCGATGTTTTTTGTTAAAAATTGGTGTTATCATTAGTATGTATAAGACTATAAGATTTAGATCAGAGAAGCCAGAGGAGTCGGAACTGCCGGGCCACGGTCCCTCCCTGAGCGCGTTTCCCCCGCAGGCTCGAGTCTGCGCTGTGCTTTTAGAACAGGCTGCAGTGGCCTCAACTGCCTTCATTGGCATAGTTCTCTAAAATAGGGTCCCTTTTGGGGTAGTTCTCTAAGATAGGGTCCCTTTTAGGGTCCTTTTTATAAGGGTGCCGTAGTATATTGAGAACTACCCATTGGTTTAAGGGATCTGAGAGGGAAAGCTCAGCCTTGGCTTTAACTTTAGTGCTTTTGCCAGGTGGGGCACACCTGGAAATCCGCTGTTTAGGGTTTTAGGGTTTTAGGGCTTAGGGTTTAGGGTGATCTAAAAAGTTCGGCAAGGTAAGTTAGTTGAGGCACGGCACATGACAACCACAGGATCTGGGCTTCTTCCATGAAGTCGAAGTGTCATCGGCTCGATTCAGACATGCTGCGAAGAAGCCCAGTTCTGGTTGCTGACGACGAAACGTCACTATGTTCAGTGTCTGTGCTCGTTGATGTGGCCTGCTATTAATGAAGCAGCTGTATCTCCTCCATTCCCGCAAGTTACGAGGTTCGCTGGATATTCTCTTCACATGAAGCTCGGTGAGGAGCTACAGGTGCAGGCTGGCTAAGCCAAGGCTTGGGCGCTGCACCAAAGGCAGAGCAGGAGCTGCCCGTAAATCCATGGTTGTGCCGCATCTTCACGGCCACCTGTAGCCATCATCGGCGTGCTCAAGCTCGCACGCTGCAACTGGCAGAAATCTTGCCACTCGGAGATCTGATCGCTGTCAGATTTGAGGTTTCTTAAGGGTGTTGCTTGCAGCACAAAGTGTAGTCAACTAGCACCGCCTTCGCATAATTAATCAGCGGCTGAAAGTTCCAGGACACAAGCCCTCAAACACCCTCATGCCGACAGCACGGGTGGTCGAATCTTATGGCAGCTCAGGCAGCGGACTGTGTTCAAAAGCCACCCGTGCCTGCGGGCAGGTGCGAGACTGCTTGTTTCGTGCTGACTTCGTGTGGTCGGAACTCCTAGGACCTAGTTCGCCTCTGAAAAGTGTTGTGTAGCCAGGCTCAACCTTAGTGCTCATGAACGGGCAGTCTTACAGCACGTAGATTCTTTGTTCTACAGTGTGCAACGCAAAATCAATCACATCACAAACCTATTGCTTGTGTCTATCCCTAGAGCCAGGACCGATTTCACAGGTGCGGAGAGATCACGAAGAAATAGAAGCTACGAGTGAGCTGCTTCATAGAACTTGGCCCTGCCTCAACTTTCCTAGTCCACAGGGAGTGCGGTGCGCCGGGTAAGAGCTCGGAGGAAGAAGTCCATGCTGGTCCTGCAGGGACGCAGAGTGCAGGCAGCAGGCAAGGAGATCCCAAAGCTTCTGCAAGACCTCGGATTCCCGAACGTTTGCGGACGACCGGCTCCTCACAGCTCTGGCAGCGACCCACTCGGCCGCTGTGTTCTTGGTCGCCTGGCTACTGCCACGGTCGCGAAGCTTGACGGCTCGGGCATCCAGCTGCAAAGACGGCCTCCGCACCCCGCTTCAGCGCCACGCGCATGGCCACAGAGGCCTTCGACCTTGCCTGGCACGATTCCGAGCCACTTGGAGAGCCACTAGGTGCAGCGAGGTTTGTACGTCGTACCGCTGACACTGAACCCAAATTAAAAGGGAGATTTAGGACACCTGGAGAAACGACACGGCCAATTCAAAAGCAAACGTCTTGTTACATTCTTGCGGACTATGTCTTTGCAAATTAACATTGAAGGGCGCTCGGAAGCACTACGTCCAACCACTCAAGCCCTCACAGTACCTGTGAGCTCATGTGTGGGAAGAGGAAGATCACGCGGTAGTCGGATTCCAGATGCTCGCGCTTCTCTTGCCAGAGTATGGTAAAGGACTGGCAGAACCTCGGCAGCTCAGCACCCAGGCTTACACGAAGCAAACAAACTTCGAGATGCGTGCAGCAGCAGCTGCAGTGTTGCGATAGTTGAACAGTAAGATGTTGTTGCTGTGAAGCAGTGGTGCTTTCGCAGAGTTACTTCGGGAGAGGTCACTCGCACGCACATGCTGGCTCAACTCTGCTGGATGGCATATTTGCCTCGGCTGGGGCCAAGACAAATAACCTGGCGAGGTCAGCAGCACACAAAACGCAACTAGTTTCCATTCGAAAAGCTTTCGCTGCAAACTGCAACTCCTTTCTCTGGAATCACACTGCTGAACCCGAGGTAGGTAGGGCCGTCCAGCCTAGTACACCTCCCACTCCGACGGAGAGAGGCACCAGCGAATCCATGGGCAAACGCCTCGCAAAGATCTGTAATCTGTGGGCTTCAACGGTCGTGGAAGGATCCAAGCCACTGAACTTGCTTGAACCTGAACCCTAAACCCTAAACCCTAAACCGTTGCAAGACTGCCCGACAAGGCCCTGAGGCCAGGGCCCGAAGGACTGCGGCTGCTGAAGCACGTAGAAGACCAAGGGGATGAGACCGCCAACAAGGGCCCCATACCTTTCCGAGAGCTTGGGTTTTGCGTGGTATGCAGATTCCACTCCCGGTCCGACAACGAACCGCATGGAACACTTTGACTAACGACCACACAGACAACCTCAGAGAGATGATTGCCAGTCTTGTCGGGTGTCGGAAATTCAAGGAAAGCTGGAGTATCAGGGCAATGTGCAGCTTTATTCAATTTCTTTTCCACCTGCTGCTGGGGCCCGGGCTGACGAAGCCAGAGGATCATGCCTGCAGCACTTTGCTGTCTTCCGGGAAGGGACTTGAATGGCCGTCGTCCTCACGCCGAATCTTGCCTCCCTCCTTCATCCGATACCCGGGAAGACAAAATCTTGCACCGGTTGTTGCAGTTGTGTGGTGTGGTAATCAGATTGTCGCCCAACATGTGGCCGTCTCACGGCGCTATACCTGCAATTGCTTCGCCATGGGAGCCCTAAACGCGCGACTCTCATACCCTGAACGTTGTGGGCTTAGATGCCTGAACAGGACTGGGACATGGATAGCAGACAGTTCTGGGCGAGGCACAGCACCACCACGGCGTAGGGGAGACCTCCCGCCTGGCGTGCAAGTCATCTTCTCGGGATCTCTTAGCTGTGTCGTTGACGGCTTCAAGTCATGCAGCTCCTTGAGAAGTGCTTAAAGCACTGTTCTGTGAAGAGTTTTCCCCTCGGGGAACAGGCAGAAACTGTTGGTCATGCTCCGCTTCTCACCAATGAGAGGCCTTGAAGAAGAAGCATGACAACAAATAACGACACCAAGCAACACTGCACTGCAGCAAGACATGCCGGCTTGTCAAGAAAGTCATGGTTCGCGGTTGCTGCACCACTGCCTAAGGGCCCCCGATCATATCCGTACATGTTGTGTAGTATCAAGCTTCATGTCCCTTCCAGGTTTTCGTCGCTGTCTGAGCTAGCAGCGAAGGCGCCCATCAGCAGCAAAGTGATGCCGCCTAGGAAAGCCTCTTGCCGCGATGTGCAAAAGCAGCCGCAACACAGCGCGATGAGTGCAGCGATGATGAGCTCTCTTCGTGTCCCTCAGAGCTTTCTTGTTTCTGTACCCGGTACCCGCCTTCCTGGCACCGAGCAACCGCAGCAGAACGGACCGGCCTTGGAACTCTCGTCGATAGTCACGCAAAGCTACATTTCGGTGTTGTTTTATCTCAAGATGGCTTACTGTCTGCAGCTGCCTTCGTTGCCCGACATCGCTGTGACAGCATTTCTCTACAGAGCGAAGTTGCAAGACCATAAACGCAAGGAATCTTGGCTGCCAGCGCTGGAGGAGCTCGAGCACACGAGCCTGGCTGTGCTACACATGAGCAGCAGCAGTTCGAAGCTGTGCCTGTTAAACTTAGTCACTTTCATCATATTCTACCTATGCCCCTGTCACAGGAGACAAGACTTTCTGGATTGCTTCCTCATCATCATTGCTTGTCGGCCTGCGCAGCAGCTGCGACCAAACCCGCGGCAAATGCCAGCGTGCGGTACTCCACAAGCCTCTGAAGGCCGTTCTTGGAGGTCATTCAAAGCCATGGAGGCAAAGCTGAATCATGAACCAGTCGTGTGGCCGTGAAAGCAACGTCTACTCATCGCGACTCTTGAAACACACATCTTATCTCACAGGAAGCACCATACCAGCCATACCACTCCCTGGGATTCCCCGGGGCCCCCGACGTGGCGCCAGTGGAACTCAACGGTGGGCCCAAGAGTCGAAGGCTGTGCAGCCCGCAAACTCGGCCCATGATCTCCTTGACCCAAAGAACGGCCTTAACTACATGGGCTAGCTAAGACTTGAGACGTTGTATGTTCTCTGTTTTGAGGTGCTTTATACACTCGCTTGATCAAACCTTGGCAGCCGCGCAAACTACACCCGTTTCAGGCTCCTCAAGGACAAAGTCGATGCATAGCCCCATCCACAGCCACTGCCGGTATCGCATCACCTGCTCCCGGCCTCAGGAAGCCCAGGTCGGGACACCGCTGAGGTATTCATGAACCTCAAAGGTCTTTAGCCAATGCAACGTAGTCGTCAGCTTTGGTCCAGGCATGCTGCGAATCTGGGTGGTGCCTGCGTAGCGCCGACAAACTAAACAGCCTAGAGGTCTTGGAATGCTGAGCATTGTTCAGTGGAAACCAACTGAAGAATTTTATTGAGCCACAAAGCGAGGCGATACTGTCGGACACTAAGACAAGTGCGCACACAAACACACACGATAATAGGACTTTTCACCAACTCCTACAAGTATGCAGCTTAATGTCTTAATTTAACATATGTACTGATTCGTTGCCTCCCCTGCAGGCACAAAACTGCAAATGCCTGCAATACAAGAAACGTACCGGCCATGGCAAAGCACCAACAACCGCAATCACAAGATCGACTACCACGGAAATACTCTCATCATTACTTACAACTAGCTCTGTAGTCATAACAATGACTAAGCCAGCAAGAAGGGCAGCGCTAGCTATCACAGCGATACCGACGAAAAAATACATGAGGAGTATTAACCGAAGAAAGGGTTCCCATTCCTTTCCCGCCACATCCAACGCACCACCACTGCCGACGTCGGGACAAGAAGCAACAGCAACCGCCCGCGGCGGCAGCAGCATCAGCAGCTGCAAAAGTAAACGCAGCGGCAGCATCAGCAGGCAGCAGAAACAACGACAACAACAACAACAACAAGGCTTCCACGGCCACCATCACCAACACCAACCCCAATGACAACAATAACAATCACAACCGAATCGACAACGACAACAACAGCACAAGGAGTGATGCTAACAACAACACTAATGATGCTAATGATAATAGTAATGGTAGCGATATCTAACTGCAATACAAGTAGTAATTGTAGTAAAAGTAATAGTACCAGTAAGAGTAAACAGTAAATAGTACTAGTAATACTAACTGGTAATAGTAATAGAAGTCGTCGTAGTAGTAGTAATAATAGTAGTAGTAGCAGTAGCAGTAGCAGTAGTAGTAGTAATAGTCATAAGAGTACTAGTAGCAGTAGCAGTGTTAGTAGTAGCAGTAGCAGTAGCAGTAGCAATAGCAGCAGTAAGTAGTGGTCGTCCTCGTCGTGGTCGTAGTAGTAGTAGTAGTAGTAGTGGTAGTAGCAGTCGTCCTCGTCGTGGTCGTAGTAGTAATAGTAGTAGTAGTAGTAGCAGTAGTAGTAGTAGTAGTAGTAGTAGTAGTAGTGGTAGTAGTAGTAGTATTAGTAGCAGTAGCAGTAGCAGTAGCAGTAGCAGTAGTAGTAGTAGTAGTAGTAGTCGTCCTCGTCGTGGTCGTAGTAGTAGTAGTAGTAGTAGTAGTAGTAGTAGTAGTAGAAGTAGAAGTAGTAGTAGTAGCAGCAGAAGCAGCAGCAGTAGTAGTAGTAGTGGTAATAGCGGCAGCAATGGTAATGGTGATGGTAATAGTAGAACTGTTAATTTTCGTAATACACATACTCATGCTAATACTGATATTCATTATCAAAATGATGCGAAAACTGCTCATAATCATAACCATACTAATGATACCACCCCCCAACAACTAATGTACTTGGGAAGTCCCGCACCATCCCCTTAAGTCATGATTTGTTGCTGTTCGTAAATCCAGGGGTCCATGATCGCAAACACCCAGTGGCCTTACTGGCCCCATCGGAACACAGGGGAATGTACTTCGAACCCCCAGACATCGATGTAATACCCCCCCTCCAAGTAAACTAGATCAGGGAGGGGTGGTACTATTGGTACTTCACTACCACTACTACACTACTATTACTATATATACTACTACTACTACTACTACTACTACTACTACTACTACCGCTGCTCCTCCTGCTGCTACTTGCACTACTACCACCACTACCACCACTCCCACGACCACGACGAAGAAGACGACTACTACTACCAAGACT